GCCAGGTTTCAGGGGTCACATTTGCTAGAACAATAAGACGAAATTTAAGGCATGTGGACGAGTTTCGCAAACTTCTGGTGAGTTCTCCAACACGTCGCCGCCTCGGAACTCTAGAAATTCAGCGTATATCAATGCCAGCAAGCATTGATAACTGTCAACCAGTCGGGGCGGGATTAACAGGACAGGAGGCGTCAGCCCGGCTCTGTTGACTCCGCCCTCGTCAACCAATCGATTTCGAGCCGCAAGAGTGGGATTTCTGCTGTGATTGCGGACTCCGCGTTCGTTTTCAATGGAGGGTTTTTTCACTTTGGTTGATCGCGGACGCTGCCTTTAAAGAAGTTCCAAAGTCTATTTTAGAGTTGGCACGTGTACGAACCATCTTTTCCATATTGGTGGCTGGTGGTGCAAGCCCGAGCATATCGTTTTCTTGGAGTCCCTTGGCTAGACTTGATCTGTAAATAGTACAGCTTTGGGTAGTTTCATAGCTGTCCTCGAAGTTTAAGCTTATTTCTTGAATTTAAAATGGTGAACGACTGATGATGACCGAGGCAAAGGAACCCCTCTCTCCTTCTCCGCAAGCTTATTAGGCAGAGGTGGTGTAGTGGCAGGTGGCGCGCTTTCCGCAGTCCGTGGGCAGAAATTCGGGATCGGTTCTCGTCCAAGCTAACCATTCCTTCCACCAACGGGGGATAGCAAATCGGTACCAGATTCGTCTGGGAGGATTAGAACACTAACTTGTACATCGGCTGTCCCCCGAAAGTCGTGACTGAAGTTGTGTAGGTTACAACGCATTCAAAGAGCCAGCGTTCATACTCTGCGGCAGCGTCTACTAGAGTACGGTATTGTGTGGTGCGGATGCATATCATTACCCGACGCTTAATCTAGCTGTCTCCTCCCTCCTACTTCCCCGTACTCTCTACTCCTGGTCGCTAGTGGACGCGGTCATAAAGCATGAACGCAGTCCCACAATAGTGAATGGAAGTAGTATGCGTGCCGTATCCTAACATGGATTGATCAATAGAGAAACCTTTTATAACTATTTTTCAGATTTTATCAATAGTTCCGTGCACTAAAATAATGCCTTTACCTGAGTGTGTTGTGCTGATTGAGGAACAAGTACCTTAGATCGTCCGTCATGACGCCATTCCCTGGGCATTGTTGCGAAGATACTGAGATATTGAAGACTGTACCTTACCAACGCAAAAAAATTATATTTTACTCACAAATATGAACAATTATTGAAACAAATTGCGCTGCTCATCTCGGGAGGGGCGTTTTGCGCTTTAGCTAGTTTCTTTTGCTAGTTTCCGCTAAAAAGGCATGTCTCATTTGTGAGACCTGTACAGTCTTGTTACGCGTGAGCAGAGCTTCTGCTATGGCAAAGCTCCACAGGAATTTACAGGTTCTCAAGGAGTCATTGACAGTGAACGATAGGAACAAGTAAAACACCCCCATCAAGCCGAAGTGCGCCAATTAATTGATTGGAAAATAATTATCCTATAGACGCTATTCACAACAACAGATTCACCAGTTGTTCTTTGCTGTCGCTCTACAAGTAATTAAGGTGATTTTTCCGGGGTTTCCTCCAGAGGTTTATGTGGCTAAAAATTGTCTGCGAATGCGAAGGCACATTACGCGCTTGGTGCATAGGCGGCGGGTTTACAATTGTACCTTCCTCGCTGCACCTCCTCCACTTTGCGATTTTAGGAGTGGGGGCACCGATGAAGGTGGCTGCGATGGTAGACCATGCTGCTCAGACGACTAGGGTGAAATAGGTCGTTCAAGCCCAAATGTCACACCAACGTGGCGGAAAAACAATTCAGGCATCTAGTGCCTAATGTGGCGCATGCGGTCCTGGAGCGATAGCTAACCAATAGTCGCGGTGGTTGAAGTTTTCTGGTAATTAAGGAATTAATTAATGTCATATGCCAAGAGAACCAAGGTGAGGCTATGGGCGGAAAGCATTCAATGCGAACTGTGTTTTCTAGCTTGCTTGGGATTGCCATTTTCTTCAGAATTGGTAGGTCTTGGATGCTAATGTTGGCGTAGGCGACGCCCATTGCAGTGTACGTTTAGCGATCTCAGCAGCTGGTTCCTGGTGACCGGGCGACTCCTATTTACGCGTGATATGATACGAGAACCTGTTGTTTTATATTGTAACGACTCACCTTCGTCCAAACCACGGAGCATAATCAAAATCTGAAATATAAAAATTGACCACATTAATAGTCAATGACATCACTGAACTCTCCGACAATTCGAGCGCGGTAGGATTTATAACAGGGTGCTCCAAAATCACGTGTGCGCGCAACCAATATGGTCTTTAACTGGTGGGAACGGGGGAGGAAGGGGGTTGATTCCAGCACCAATATGCCCGTGAAAAGCCTTTACGATGATTCATATCATGAGGAATTTCTAAACTCTTCTTCAGAATGCCTGTCCACTCTTGTAAAGCAATGAACACAATAGTGGGAAGTAGCGAGGGTGCAAGTACTCCCCCCCACCTCCTAGCATGGCACAGCATCGAATGAGGGATTATTGTCGAGCTTTACGACCCCCCGTTTTTCAGCTGGTTACGACCCCCCCCTCCGAAACGTCCGCAAGGAGAGAAAAATCAACTATAAAAATAAATTTTTCCCAGCCCAAATACGACCCCCCCTTTTGACGGCCAAATACGACCCCCATAGGGAATCAACAGCAATGCTGTTCCTCCTAAAGCGAACTGAGAGCGGCGTGGAGTTAAGCTGAAATTGTTTTCACCAAACTATGCTCTATGCCCTTCTCCCATGCGCTCTCTAAGTTGACTACTGTAATTTAGGTATCTCATGGAAAACTCCAATGAAAATCGAGGCTCTGTATGTGACGAACAATACGGTAGCATTTCACACAATGCAATGTTCAAGGAATTTCTCATTCTGTGTCATACCAGATGATGCAAAATGGAGTGCAATGTCTGTATATCTTTTTATTGCAATAACTGTTGTTAAGAGCTGCAGAAGTATAACAAGAATGTTGAGTTACCTGACCCTAAGCGGCACTAGTATCGGTCCTTGACGCTTTAAGCGAGTGCGCAGTCTGTTTTGATACCAGGACCATCCCTTGCCCTCGAGCTTGACGACTTTTACGCTCACACTTGGTTTTCGCTAGCTATGATGAGCTGAGGTGCTTATACCTGGCTTTTACGAACTTTTCTTGGAAAGCTTTTGAACTGCGCCATGATGGCTCGAGTCACATTGGCACTTTTTCTCGTGGTTGGAACTATTATGTGCCACTCTGCCAGGAGGTAAGTCAATGCACCGAAATCCATGAATCGCTTCATATTGGCCATTGCAGTTCTTTGCTTCCTAAAAGGGTTTAAAGGCACGTTCCGCGATAAACTAAGGCTAGGTTCTCATAACCGTGCACGATGGTCAAGCAGGCAACGTCAGAGGCTATGCTGCTTTTAAAAGTTGAAAAACAGCAAGCAAAACGCAGCGCGCTCAGGTTTTAGGCCCATTGGCGCCCGATAGGCCCATGCCGGCCTCCAGTGACCGTGTCGTTGTGAGACTGCCATTGCGCCCGTCGTTTTCTGGCCTCTCTCGTCTCTTATCAGTGTATCGCCGCCTTTCGCAATTCACAATTGATCTTGACCACCTTACGCTCGTCCGGTGATCATGATCAATTGCAATAAAGAGGGTCTTATTCCGGGCGCTTTTTCGTGCTTCCTTCTCCTTCAATAAGTCAACAAACACACGGCAGTTCTATTTTTGAACCGTATTACCTATGTGAGCTGTGGTCGCGGGAATTGCCTTTAAGCAAGTATGTATTTTGGCTGCGCATTCAATCTTGTGCATTTCACTCAGCCCAGTTCCCTTCATGAGAGCAGTGATGTGGTTTTGGAGTAGATGAAACATGGGCAAGAGAATCGTGAGAGTTGCCGCTTGCCGTCGCCGCGACAAGTTGGCGCGACGTTTCCTTTACTTTTGTGCTACCCTGTCGATTTGGAGCATCGATTCTTATGTAAGACAAGGACCAGGAGTCAGACACTTATGTTTCATTTTTGGTCATTATATTTGTCTATTCTCTGACTAATAGGCTAAAATCGTCGTCATTCGCGGTCACGACGTCATACGCGAACGCGCATTGCGATGACGAATTGCTTCTCTTGCAACTATCCCGGGGGTAGGAGGGTGTTAGGAAGTGAAGCGCCAAGTATAGGTCAAGTTTTCTTAAGAGTCATAACCAAATGGGTGAAATCGTTGGCGTAGAATACCAACGTTTGGTACAGTCATTACCCACTTTAAGTGTGGCCTGTTGCGGGATGCTGGTGTGTTTTTTAAGATGCGTTGTCGTTTTTGCGGGGCATCTGCGTCCCCACCGCCGTTGCTCACGGTGGTTGCGATGGACCCTTTTTGGTAAGCTGTCTCTTGTGAGGGTTCGGATCGTAATGGCGCTTGCGTTGCGGTTATTTTTGTTTTGTTGTTCTGAAACCGGTCAGGGTGCCTCATTGGCGCAATGGGTTTTTGTCGCGGTGCCTAATTTTTGGCGGAAATCTTTGGCTGACTTTGGTGAGCTTTGTCGCTGAGCGATGGAAAAAGCGGCTGGCACCGCGAAAACCCACCTGACACTTTCCGACTGATTTCAGTGATAACGGCCGTACTGCGCTGCACTTGATTTTGGTCCAGCACTAGGGTTGTAGGAATGTTTAAAAAAAATTATTCCTCCTTACGATGACAAATAGACCATGTCTAAAGCCGAATGGGAATGGACTGTTTTGCCGCACATGTATGATTTAGCCTAACTCGAAAGGCCGTTTATGGGAATACTAAGTGAGTATAGGTGTAATAACAAAAACAACAAAACTGCTTTGAAAGTAGCATTATGGCGGCGATGAACACATCAAAAATCGTGTTCTCCGAGGAAACTTAGGTACCCTTTTTTATACAGTATATTTGAGAATTGTTCTCTATGCCCAAAAGAGGAACTTAGAAAAATAGCGCAGTGGTGTAAAACTATCATAGTGTAATACCTGTGGTGAGCGCGCCACATTTATTCTTAATGACTTTTTCAAACATTCATCTATTAGGTTGAAAAGAAAGTCCTGCCTTACTTCAGATTGAATTGTTCTAGAAAAAAAATCAAAAAATATTTTGGATGTTTTCACCCCTGATTAGTAGAGAGTATTCTTTTTCATGTCTGGTGGAAGCTGTTCGACAGCTTACAGGTCACACATTTTCGATTGCTAGTGGCACCAGTGTCGTACGATCAGATAATTTTGTGTGATGGTAGGGCAACGTGTAGGTCGCTTACCATGACAGCCGTTTACAACCTTCTGGAGGCGCAGCCGAAAGTAACCACCAGTATGTTGGCAGCAGGCTGGACCTATCTGACCACTGCCATGCTTTTGCGGAATCTCGGAAATCTTATAAGGCGTGAGTTGGACCAGACTGAAAGCGCACTGAATGGTCGTGACTGAGTTTCCTTTTCACACACTACAAGAACTTTTGTAAGGCATTCTGGTTGGTAGTTGGAATCCTTGCTTCAACTATGCGCACTTCCCTCACAGGATCTCTCAAGGAGAAAAGTAGACTGCAAAAGCAGATGTGCAAGGAATAAAGATTTCACTGTGTTATCGGTGGTGCTTCAAAGTGATGTCGCTGACTACTGGCACAGATTGACGGCTACAGTGTACTCTATCAACTCCAAAACATGAATGACGTAACGCTTGAGTTCACACTGGAACACTCGATTTCCTTCAACTTCTTGGCAATGCGAGGAACGCTTGTGGCGATGAGCTACTTCAAAAGCTTATAGGTCTCGATTATTGAATGCGACCGTACCCAGCTTATTTACCAAGGTTAGCAGCCTTCAACTACCACCTTCTTCAGTCTCTACTGTGTCCCTTAAAAAGGAGAATTCCGAAAACAGCTGGACTTCAAGATGAGCACTACTACCTCTGACAAGGTGCCTTCCATGGTATCTCGCCCGCCTAATTTTCTTTCTCTCAAGCGCTTTCTTTCCTTTTTGCCCGTTAGATCACCTTTGTGGAATTGTTCAACAGGCGGACTCACCTATAGTTGACCTCTTACAGGGGTTTTCGTTTCCACGGCCGTTGCTTGCCAGTGTTTGATGCTTTTAACAACGCGATGCCAGTGTTTGATGCTTTTTCAAAAATAACAAGGGCGTTCCAGAAGCTCTTCTTCGCCGAAGTCGCCGTAGTTATCTACAAGAGTGATATCGCGAAGCTGTGCAAAATCTGGGCACTAGTCTTAGTTACTAATGGTGATGACCATGTAGATTGGAGGTGTCTCTTACTGAAAGGGAATTAGGCCCGAAATTTTGGTCAAAGTGTCACAGAACTTTCCTTCAAACCTAATATCAGGTTGGTCCATAACTTCTGGAGCGCCTAGGTTATTTTTGAACGTTGTTAAAAGCATCAAAACCTGGCAAGCAGCGTGGAAGCAGAAGCCCCTATAAGGGGTCAACTACTGGTGACTTCGCCTATTGATCGATTTCGCAAAGATGATCTAATAGGCAAAAAGGAAAGAAAGCGCTTCAGAGAAAGAAAATTAGGCGGGTGGGATACCATGAAAAGCACCTTGTCGGAGGTAGTGGTGCTCATCTTATAGTGAGAGTCTAGCTGTTTCTCTCGTCGTCGACTTCGTATTATCAACGGCATAGGAGACTCGGACTTCAGTTGAAACACCAGCATAAGCATTTCCTCCAGCCAGTTAGGGAACATTTCCCATGTACTGTAGCGGCTCTGGATGGGATCATTGTTGGAAAGACGCCTGCGTTCCAATGCGCGCCACGCACGCCATATATTAGGTTGGCAACTAAGTAATTGCGGATTTTTTTAGAATATCAATGACAATTTTTTCATGGAACGAAATAATTTTATTCTGTAATGTATTGCCCATTTTTATCAATGACCTTTTGCCATCTTTCAGGCAGCATCATAATCCCACGTTCATAAAACTTCTGGTTTTTATTAGCAAAATTGAATCAGGTGCGATTTGACATCATCATCATTATTGAAATTTTTACCATTCAAGGAGTTTTGTAAAGAGCGAAACAAAAAGTAATCTGATGGTGCAAGGTCAGGACTATATGGTGGATGTGGCAAAACATCCCAACCAAGCTCCAATAATTTTTGCCGAGTGGCCAAAGATGTGTGTGGCCTTGCATTATCATGATGGAATACCACACCTTTTCGATTTGTCAATTCGGGCCGCTTTTCTTCAACAGCATTGTTTAATTTCGTTAGTTGTTCAATGTAGACATCAGAATTGATCGTAAGAGTTCAAAGTAGACAATTCCTTTGTAATCCCACCAAACTGATAACAAAACCTTCTTTTGATGAATATCAGCTTTTGATGTTGTTTGAGCTGGTTCACCTGGCTTGCTCCACGATCTTTTCCGCTTGATATTGTTGTAAACAACCCATTTTCATCGCCATTTATCAGTCGTTTTAAAAATGGATTATTTTCGTTACGTTTTTCAAGCAAATCGCAGTTTTAATGCGTTGCGTTAAATGCGTTTCTTTCAGTTCATGAGGAACCCATGTATCAAGTTTTTGAACATAGCCAAGCTGTTTTAAGTGATTTTCAATGCATGTATGTGATACATGGAGCTTCTCTGCGATCTCACGTGTTGTACTGTGACGATCCGAATCGATTATTGCTTTGAAGGTCGTCATCAACTTCAACTGGACGACCAGAGCGTTCTTCATCTTTGAGTGAAAAATCACCAGAACGAAATTTGGCAAACCAATTTTGACACTGCCGTTCTTTTAAGGCTTCGTCACCATAAACAGCACATAACTTTTTGTGAGCTTGCGATGCGTTTTTCCCTTTGCGGAAATAAAAAAGTAAAATATGACGAAAATGTTCCTTTTGATGTTCCATTTTTCAACGAACGCCAAACAAAAACTATGCAACCAATCAAAAAACTTTTTATACCGATTGATAGCTGAATTGCCAACTGTCTAATAACAAGATAAGTTTTACACTTGCTCTACGTCAGCAAACCTAAAAATTCAACTGAAACCATCTATGAGTGAAATCCGCAATTACTTAGTTGCCAACCTAATAGTTTGCAGGGATCACACAGCGCTCCAGAAACAACTGCTTATGATTGCATGCTTGTGGAACGCGGGAGTAAGAAAGACACAATTCGCCATATTCGACGCAGTATTTCAAAACAATCTGAGCATATGATGGTCACTTTCTTCACCTTCACGCAGAATACCTAGAAGCTATGGGTGACCTGTCACGTCAGTAATAGTAAAACATCCTGGCTGCAGTTGCTGCGAAACACTTTGTTCTGAGAGGAAGTATAGCAGATAAGCCACTAAGTGTAGGACCGGAATTTTTCGAAAAACTACAGTAGCAGCTTCGTTGCAGGACCAGCTACCGTACTCTCGGCATGCTATTTTCAACTGGCCTAATTTCGCGTGCGCCTTCTTCTGAATTTAGGGTGGTTGATATACGTTTCTTGGATAGTGAAGAGAAGTTTATCAACTTGAACAAAATCTTTTGTAGGTTTCAGTGCCGGATATATATGCGAAGGCAATTTTCCACGAGACCAGCTAAGGAAGTGTTATGTGGACATTAGAAGTTTAAGCTTATAACGATATGCGGAGTTTTAGAATGGATCCTGAATAGCCCAGGATCCATTCTAAAACTTCGATCATTTTTGATTGCTTCATTCAGTGACCTTAGGCTAGAATACGTACTCGGTCGCTGAGCTGTTTATGTCCTGTTGCTTAGTATGGATCTAGATTAACCCCTGAAAAAATCAAATGGAAATGGGCGGGTAAATAACTTTGGCATATTGAACTGTTCCTACACAATCTCCCGAAATCACACCGGTCTTTAGCGACCTTTTGTGCAAGGTCAGATTTGGAAGACAATCTGCTTTCAGAGGTACTTCGACCTCCTAAACACGAATATCACATACGCTCCGCCCGAAACCGCCTGGCTATTACCGAGTTTTTATCACTTTCGGGAAGAAAAGGTTTGAAACAAACAAAACAACGTGTATAGCGCTAAATGGCGCCAGCGCCAGGAATGAATGTCATATTCGTGATCAGTACATCGGATAACATCTGTGGACAATGTATCCACGAACAAAAAAATTTTGAGGTAGGAGTAGTTCAACAGCGCCTTACCGTTTGTATCACGAGAAATCAAAGCAGGAACCGCAAAACATTAACACATATCATATCTTGCTATTTCCCTCATCCCGTGCTTGAAAATACCAATTTTCCTTCCCTCAAGTTGATGTAAATCCTTCCAAAAGTTTCTATCCATGTAGCAAGTAGGAACGAAAAGGTAATGCTAGGCATATGCATACTGAACCCCACTAAAAGGCAGAAAGACTGTCCAGAATCGTATCATAGTCGTTTTTTTAACGAATGCATATCGCCGTTCACTCAGAATCCAAAATCGAGCGCATGTAAATTTAGGCCAGCTTAGAAGGCATGCAATGCAACACAGGAGTACGGTAGCTGGTCCTGCAACGAAGCTAAGTACTGTAGTTTTTCGAATAATTCCGGTCCTACACTTAGTGGCTTATGTATGCACAGGTCTCCATGTGAGTTGGTCGCACCTTCCTAATAACCTCATCACGAGAATAAAGGGGAGTTGGCATTCGTCACGCATGAAATTTGGTATTCGGGCTAAAATACTTGCAGGGCGCTATATAGTGGGGAATTGGCGAAACAACGAAGTGAAATGGAAAGTCCTGCGGAGAAAAGCCTTCGCTCTTCATGGCTCAAAAAGCGATTTCGGACGAGTTTCCCTCAGGCCGTTTTGCCAGTAGCACTTACGATAGGTACGGCTGCGCGTATGTGCTCATATATCCATGCAGCACCGCGGCCTTCATATCAATTGTTTCGCTTCATATTTTACTTCGCAAATGAAGCAATGCGAGCATCAGATGAGGTCGTCCATTTGTGGGCGTGGCGTTTGTGGTGAACGTTCGGATCGGTTCACATATGGTAGCTTGGTAGTACCCTTGTAAGAGTACCTTCCTTGGAAAAGGCGCTACCCATCACCTGTTCAGGGTGGCGGAATCCCTTCCTGCAGGCGCATTAATCCAATTCGCCTTAGGGATTCATAGTGCCGACTACCTTTAAGTACAGACATGGCTGCGGTAGCGGCTACCGTTCAGAAGAAAAGCCGCCTCTTCTCTATCTGCAGCGACCTAGATGCTATTTCCTAAATGTTCACTCATCCAGTTCTTGTGATGCTATGGAAAGCCCACACACTGAAGAGATGGGCGTAAGAAACTACTGATGGATTCGTATACATTGCGCTTTATTCTGACAATGGTGAAAAGAAAAGATCTTCATTGGATCGTGAATTCTTTATATAAGTCAGTTAGCGTGGAACTAATTTATGTGGCTATTCGATGTAAGTTCCGAAGCAGTAGAATGTCATTCCTTTGAAGAGGACGAAGAATGCGTTGTGCACGTTTTGGAAGGCGTGCCCTCGGGTCTGAAAAACAACGAATTAACTCAGTATGGAGGAGCACGGAAGTCGCATACTTGATGTCGTCGCATTCAGTCGGGGCGTGTCAAGAGGGGTGGACTCAGCCACTTCCGCTCCCCTTGCTGGGCTCTCTACCAATACTGGTTGTATAGCGATCAACGCAGACGAGAAGAACCTGTGGTAGAAAACGCCGTGGGTGAGCTCACTCCTTGTCCCCTAACACCGCCATGACTTGTTACCATATCGACATCTCCTGCACTTGCGTACGGTGAGGCAGGTTCGTGCAGGCTCTCAAGGGAATGAAGCATGCATAGGCTACATTCATACGTTCTCGGCAGCGTCTAACAGCAACCAATAGCGTCACCGTCACCAGCGTTCCAAGCACCCGACAGCGTCAGCGACTAATAAAGCTCTAGCTCTATATCAATGTGGCTTTTGCGAGCGTCTTCAAGCGTCACCCGGCGTCTAGCAGCGACCAGCAGCGTCTTGGAGTGGAGAGTACAGGGTGATAGGAGGGTAGCAGACAGCTGGACGTCGTGAAATTGCACGTGCGCAACCGCACCGGACAGCTGCTAAATTACAGAGTTATGCAATATAATGTGCAATGTAGTGTAGTTGTACGGTGCAGGTTGCACACGCCGCAATTTCACGACGCCTAATCCAGCTGTTTGCTACCCTCCTACTTCCCCATACTCTCTACTCTGGTCGCTGGTGAACGCTGGTAGACGCTGGTGGACGCTGGCAGACGCTAGATTGATACCTATACTTCCCTAGTAGTCGAAACGCTGGCAGACGCTGGTGGACGCTGGCAGACGCTAGATCGATATCTATACTTTCCTAGTCGCTGACGCTGCCGGACGCTCGCAGACGCTGCCGCAAAGTATGAATGCAACTTAAGGACACTCATGTCACCGCCACAGGCCATTACGCTCACATCTGACCTTATTTGTTGAGCCCTACTATCTCAGTGTTGCAATTTTTGCAAGGAATTATTGCTTTGAAGTGCCCACTTCTCCTGCTCGGAGTGGCAACGTATGCTAGTGTTTCTGAAGAAGTATAGTGCAGCAGTTCACCTACCCAGTGGGCATTGTGGAAGAGTAACTGCATGACGACCCCTGAGAGTGCGACGTAGCCCAGCGCAAGGAACTCATAGGACGAGCTCAGTTGACCGGTCAGGAATCCAAGCACCAAATTGGCGCTAACAGCGGCACCAAGTGATGCTCCGAGAATCATACGGCGATCACCCTTGGCACGTTGTACAATATTCTGAAAAAAGGTAGGATTGTACGAGTTTTGACGTCTAACCCAGATGTCTTGAGAAACCTACCGCATATCCAAAGGAGACGGACATGGGGGTGATGAAAGCAAGTGGTTGTGAGCTGAGATAACGTTGACTTATCGTATATCCTACTAGTAAGCCCTGCCCAAATGTTGACGCTACCATCATTCTTCTTATATTGTTATCGCTTTGGAACTGTCTTTCCTTCTGTAAACAAGACCTTTTCATGATAGCATCGTTCACCATTTCACTAAGGGTACAGCGGATTTTTAATACTGCTTTCATCTTTGCTGGGTGTGAGCTGGGAAATCGGAGTTACGGTACTGCAACCGATTCTGCGTTGCAAGTGAGAGCGCGCTGACACCTATACCCGGTTGTTTCAACGAGGAAGTACTACTACAAGCTGAGTCATCGATCGGGAAGTCTCGTGCCTGGACTGCGGGAAGATTGGAGTGTGGACAGTTACTCATATGTCGTGGAATCGCGTGCACTAGCGCACGATTAAGTGACAACTAAAACTTTAGGTAGGGGTCGTGACGCGATAGGCCAGAGCGCAGAGCAAAGACTGCGACAACCAAGGCATCGTGAGGTACAAAAAACATGATGCGAGCCAGGAGATGAGCTTTTTCGAAGGGAGGGGACACCGGGTGGATGAGCCACTTAGTATGCGTGAAAAGTTGGAATGTGAAAGGTCAGAGTGGCCACAAATCGCCATTCAGGCAAGAGAGCGCAGAGAAAAACAGAAAGTTGGCGCCATTAAAGGAATTGAGTTTTAGTTGCCCGCAGACCCCAGCGCACCGTTTCCTAGCTAGTTGACTGGCCAGTACAGGCACAGGGAGAACTAGTCAAGCTGAGGGATGCAGACGCAGTGAGAGCCGTCTCGCCGCAGCAATGCTGCGTTGAGTGAATTGGGTACTGCGTACAATCTATCATCGCGAGCTGTCGGGTCGCAATCAGCGGTTCCCAACTGTGGCGATTCCTTCCTACATCGATCATTGCTCGATCACCATTGGTAGAGCAAGGCAGCCGGACGCGAGCTCGTGCCGCGCTGCGCTCGCCGCCCCGACAAATTGCACCTACACTATAGTTATCCTTGCTCCCGTATCTTCAGAATGGAGCCGTCTGGCCACCCTGCCACTTTGGTCCCTTCTACTCGCGTCCAGTGGAGGCTCGTCTCGCCCCTCCTCTTCCAACCATTCTTCTTTGCCGGTCTGTACATCTTGAAGAGCTGAGGAAGTTCGTATTTTCCACAACTAGCTGAAGACTGACCTCTTCCAGCTTCTTCCAGTCCAGTTCCAGTTCTTGGTGTTTTTCGAGATTTCCGCCCCAGAGCAGTGTCGTAAGCGTCAGTCTCTAGATCGTGCCCCGATGAATTTTCGGCGCAATATGGATAGTCGCATTATGTCCAACGTTAATCCAACTTACTACAGCGCCCGCCACAATGCAAACCCAACAATGCCACCTTCGCTAGGGACGGGGGTCAGTGGCAGATCGACTAGTGACGTCATGAGTATGTGGCAAGAAGATCGTAATCCGCCGCGCCAATGGGCGTCGCGTGCGACGTCGCGCCGCCTAATGACGATGATTTTAAGCGGCACTCGAGAGTAGACAATGTATGACCAAAAATAGGCATAAGCTTCCCCTTTGTCCTTGTCTACATGAAATCCGATGCTCCAATCGAAAGGTAGTGCAAATAAGGGAACGTCGCGCTCATTGCCGCGCACAGCCGAGAGGCAATTTACGATTCTCTTGCCCGTCTCCCGCGATGTCATTCCTGGGCCGCATATTATCGCATTAGTGGCACATAGCAGTTCCTTTTTAAACCAGTGGGCTTATCAGAAAGTAGCTTCTGTCAGAAAGGTAATGGTGTAGTTGTCCCTTGTTGGTGGGAGCCGACCGTGATTTCCACCTGATCCTGATATTTCAAGATGCATAAAGTGCTCGCAGCTGCGTAAGCTCCATCAAGTGATAACGAAGGTGCTCGAAAACTATCCGGTCTTCGAGCGCCCTCCAGGGGACATGTCGCTGAAGATAGAGATCGCCTCCTAGGAATCAGAGAAGGAAGCAGAGCTGGAGTTTTCCTCGGTACTTCCCTACCACCTAGCCAGGTATGGAGGTAACACCGTAGTAACCTTGTCGGACATGACACCCAAATGTCGCTGCAGCCATTCTATGACACTAAGAGGAGAACTCACGACAATAAGTGTTCGAAAATCGGAAATATCAACGGTCGGACATCTATTATCCGAACACTTGGCCAAGTTCCAGTTCTAGTCAACAGAGGGTTCGCGAAAAGCACTGGGTATGAGTCACCACTTATTCGGCTCATCGTGTTGGACAGCTCTACGCCAAGAATAAGCTCTGCTTTTATGCACCACCGGGCGCTCTGCCGTGCTGACTTGCAACTGAGTTAGGTTTCCCCAGATTGATAAGGTTGATAGCCACGTGTTGACAGCGCTCCATCCTCATTTTCAGGGGAACTTCTTTCTTTTGCGGTAACTCTCCTAAGGCAGGTCTCCTTCGGTGCTGAGAGCAGCCGATATCCGTCGAAGGCTGCTCTATATCCTATTGCAATCTGTCAAGCGCTCAAGGGCACTTCCTATTCTGTATACTGCTCCTAATCGGGGAATAGTTTCCCAGAGCGAACTCCCTTGAAGAAACGCTATTGCCTTGATGGGAATAGAGTGTTGACAAGGTGTGAAACTCACGTGCTTAATACTAGCATGAATTGCAACGGGAATGACAAAATACGCGAGTACAGAGGCGGTGAATTTCGAGATCATCGATGCAAAAACCGAGTTCAATATGTAAGCTCCGAGAACAGATCCTAATGAACAAGACAGCACCAGAACTCCTGACCAAGCGAATACTTCGATGACAAGTCGTTGAGGTGCGGACACTTTACTCTGCAAAGGAGTAGCGTTCAGTCTGGTCCCACTAAGTCGAGAAGTTCAACTTATAGCTTACCATATCTGCGATAGCCCTCATCATTTCTTTCATCCACGGTTGAACTTCGTTCATCATCTTAGGCAGGTTCTTCTGGAATCGTTCAGCTGCCTTTCGTCCATCGTTACAAGCTTTTTCCATTTCTTTCTGATAGGTTCCATAAGTGTCAGTGAGGGCCATGGCGTTAGTAGAGAAGCGAGTACGGCTGCTAATCACCCACCGTTTTCAGCCTTTTATACCACAATGATGTTTTCTAACTATCAAGGCTTGATAGCTATATCATTGAATTTCCGATCAATCATTTCACTTTGTGAACTTCAGCTTTCTCCAGGCCTGAGGTGACAGGCACACGCGAATGTCGGCTTTGCAAAACCATGCGTGAGATTTGGCCTCACCTGAGTACATTGTGATTGCAACGAAGTTCCTTCCCTCATCGGCTCCTGCTATGATGATGGCAGAACGTCTATCCGTCAAGAGGCAAGTAGAAGAAAGGAGGGCTCACAATTAAGGGCAGCGATATGCTGAAGGCATCCTGTTCTCTCTAGTGTTCGTCTCATGCCGTTGAGAGGACCACTGATGTTGGGGGCCAGTCGCCTGGTGCTCAGACGACGACACGAGGACGAACAGCTCATTCTTGATCGGGTCTCCCAACTGCTAGCATTATGCCAGCGATGAAGTCTGATCAGTACCTCTGTTCATTTATTGCACATCTATGCCTGCCTTTCTTCATGCCAACTGCCAAAAACATGCCAACTGCCCTAGATAGAACCCCGTTTCGATCCCAGTTTGTACGTGCTCTACTAACTCCATCTCCAACACTAGTCCCCATCCGCACAGCTGATTCCCCAATTTTCGACCTTACGAGTGACGATTTTCATGCTTTCCGTCCTGCAGCTTCGTTTTTCGCTGAAAGGCGGACCTTGGAGATGGTTCTAGAAGCAGGGTCACTGGAAAAGAAGAAGGAGTCACTGAGCGCCCTTACCATTTTTCGCCGCAAACTTGATACAAGTTTCTTTGTCGCGGGCCACACTACCCTCCTGACGCCGTAGTTTCAGGTTCTATACCAGATCGCGGACTGTGCCCTTAATCAAGGCCAAAATCATCCCCGACCAGATTTAGACCACCTAAACAGAACGTGCAATGCCGGTTGGAAGTAGTGATGGTCAGGTAGCAGTAAAGTTTGTTTTCTGGCTCGCATCACTAGCAATTGTGCCCTCCCACGCGACCCGCGGCCTTATAAGTAGCTTGTATTGAAAAGACAATGGTGAAATCTCCCTTCGAAGTCATTCTTCGCCACTACCGCTCGTGGGTAACGGGACCTAAGTCTGTGTCCGCCGCAACAAGAAAAAGGCTGCACTCCTACGTTTCAATGGGGAGCCCCGGCTCCGATCGCATCACTTTTTAGCCTTCCTTCAGGCCTGGATTTTGGAAGCTTTGTCCATCAGTCAAGCAATCCATCCTCTCAAAGTTGCATGACTGGTATCTTAATCGTCTGCGCGAGTGAGGATCTTGTCCCGTACATCAGCTGTCCCCAATGAATGTTCTGTCTGTGAAGTTATGACTCCAAGTAAATATCGACTTCGCGCAGTCGAGGAACTGATCAACATCTACTGTCGTCCCCGTCCGAGCTATCCTGAAAGTGCAGCACTTGCATCCATACCAAGATCCACTTGCTCACTTGCACTTGCTCCAAATCCTGCAAAAACACCAAGTCAGAGGTAGAGAGCAACCATAGGAAAACGGGCGCAAAGAAACAATGCGCTTGGTTATGGTTAGGCATGTGGGTAGCTCTGCGGCAGCGGGGCCGGGAGACGGCACCCTGGGGTCGCTACAATTCAGCCCTGTTCCCGTGCACTTCCACCGGAAAACTCCCTTGCACAGCTTCCCGCGCCGAGGCTGACCTCGCGGCGACACCCTGCTTGACCCATAACCCCTGTCCCCTTGGCACGGACAATGCGCTCCTACAGGTGTTCAGGGGGTCTCTCCAGGTAGCTTTTTTGTCAGTCAGTCCGCGCGGTTCCCCTGAACACCCGACTTAGTATCCCCAACCACTCCCTATCCATTGACAAGCAGAACTCTGCTTACATCTGCTTGGCCTAACCACGAAACCTTATTATCGGACGAACTTCGTGAGAACCCTATGAGATGCTTCCGAATAAGTCGCAGGTATCAAAAGGGGCTCGGGCGGAGCGCGCCGAGAGATGGTGTAGCGGACAAGGCGGCGCGGCTTTACCACCTCGCGCCACGCGCCGTGTGTTAAAATTCCCGGGTCCGACTCCCGCCCGGGGCCAAACCAAGCCGTTCTACCCCGGAGCGGACGGGTAATACTTGCGGATACCAGATTTGCTCTGGTCTTCAAGCATACAAGCACACCTGCCCTTGCTCTACCCCCGGCCACCCTTTTCTGCCTATACGGGACGACCCGGCCACAATTTACCACTGTGCTCTTCATCCTACGCCCCGCCTCCAGCCTACGCGTTCTTACCGAAAGTTACTCACCCAAGACATGCCTGACGTTATCTTGTATGTTCTGCCCCAGCGCGGGAGTCAAACTCCGCCTGCGGGATCGACCTTTCTCGCCCATTAAGCTCAGTGCGCGCAACCGCAACCACGACCACCCAGCCCCCTCTCCGCCACGACGCCGCTCGAATCCACACCTCGAACTGCCGCAGTAGCGGACATCTACCTAATCGTTGTAGTTGATAACTTGCACATCATAGGCCTGCAGCTGGGGCCCCTGCGTAACGGATAGCGCACTCGCCCGGAAAGCGTGAGGTGCGGGTTCGACTCCCGCCTGGGGCACGACTTTTGCCCATAACTCAGCATTCTTGTGATAACTATTGTACATTCTTTCTGGCCAGCCTCGCGGGCTACAGCATCTTGATATAGCCAATCGCATCTCAAAATAAGCCACTTACGATTCTGAATGGAAGAGACGTCGCCGAATCCACAAATGGGATTGATCAACGGCGAAGCCCTTTATCCTTTGACTTCAAAAAACCGACCAGTATACTCTGCATCCACGATACAGCTAATCCAAATCAGTAGATGACTGTTCTCGTCAATGGTAACTGGCTTCATTCCTCACGAGTCACTCTTAGGCACCTCATTTCTTTAGCCATGCTGAAAATTTCGTTACAATTGGTTGTTCCAGCTCCTGTGTCTTTGTTAGAATGCGATACCAGTAAGGATCTTTTTGGAAGGGGCGCCAACGAATTCAAGCTTGTCTACTTCTGTGGACTGCCCAACTTCACAGTCAGTCTCGGAATGAAGTCTCCTCTTTCGTACGCACCTCCCTGACTACCTGAGACGGCAGTGCGACCGATGGAGTTATTCTGGTCTGTTACGTAAAATGTGCTCCAGCCAAGAAGGGGCAGTCACCAGCCCTGCATACAGCAATGTGTGACGGCCTTTCCTCCCTTTCTGTTCATGCCCCACATTCTGCCCACCACACCTTTCAGTTGAGATCTTAAAACAGACATGTTGTGCCATAGCTCTTTGAAGAGGCACTCCACGATCACCTAGGGCGCCGAACGCCTTTTTCCCTGATGAGTTGGGTGAGTCGTAGGAAGAACTCCAGATCCTATGCTTTGCTTAGCTAGAAATAGCGCGTTAATGGACTGGCAATGTAAGTGCTGATGAGCATATATATGGGCGTTGCCAATCAGTCGCCGCCAGGGTACATCGGTTGATGGGCGAATCCGCCAACAGGGGGACGGTCGCCATTTTGCCGCCAGAGAGGGGCAAAATAATTATAATTTTGTCGTAATGACTGAGGTAGCAGAGTAACGGTAGCAGCGTCGAGGGCATCTCGTCAGTGAGCTGAGTCCACATGTCGAGCGAAATCTTGCCTTTAGAGGAATCGGAATATGATGAAAAAAAGCTACAGAATCTTTCGCTGTTCATCGAAACTAATCCGAAATAACTGGAAATATTCAGTATAAGTCGGACATCATCTCGCAGGGACCATAAGCCAGTACAACTATACTCGGTGTCCCGGTGCATCGCGCTTGGCCGCTTGAGCAAACCTGCTTTTTTTCGGACAAACGACAGGTCAACTACCGATATCGTTTGTCGTGTCAGACGTTTTTAGTAGTTGTCTCCTTCATCGAATCAGCATTTCGGCAGCATCCGACATCTGGCGGCCAAGCCTGCGACCGAAGGTGACGCGCTCCATCATGACACAAAGGAAAACACTGTAACAAGAGCATCAGGCATTCGCCATGGGAAACGACCTCCCCCCTGAAATCTATAAGACCACATTTGCTGGGCCAGTGGACAGAACCATTTTAAGCGCTCAACAATTGCACCATCCCATCACCTCTGCGCGGACCTCAATGCGCGGCGCATCCAAAGTTAGCATGATTGGCGCAAAAACCACATCCTGCTCCTGCTCCACCACAGGATACGTTCTACATGTATTTCTGGCTATTCGAACACGCTCCTTGAAACCGTACACAGAAAACGGACTTTCGAACAGTTGAGAAACGGTAATTTCAAAAGTTCGGAGTGTTCCCCAAATAATCCCCAACGCAATTATCTCATGACTCCCGGAAGCTTCAAAAAACGTTCAAGTAGTTTTGGAAAGAGCAAATCTTCTAGAACTCGACAGTAGTTTCAGATTCCCAAACTATTGAGGTTCAAGGGAAATATCTTGGTTCAAACCTGTAAAACTCGCGCTCCAAACTATCCAAAAAATGAAATCCCTAAATAATCCCCAACGCAAATTTCTACATGAAATCGGCGATCTTTATGTACATGTTAGTATGTTTTGGAAAGATAAAATCTTTCGTCGCATAACGTATTGCGTTCTTCTGTTTTCCCCGAAGTGTCACTATTTACGGAAGTTATTGTCCTTTGAGAGACGCCCCCTTTTTCCCTGAAAGTCGGCGCTCCAATCACAAACCACCCTGCAACATGTTGACGGGCTGGAGTGCCTGCCAGGAATCCCTCCGGTACCTCGGACTTCAATTCCAGTCTGATTGCGGTGGTGCTTTCTTTGTCGTATTGTTTACCCTTCGTGTTTTATCTCTCCTCTGCGTTTATTCGAATAGTCTTAATATTTATCCTTTTCTCGTTCTACTCCGACAATGCCCACGCGTCAGAGCGCGCCCCAGCAATTTTGCTTGGACCGCTCAGATGCTTTTAGGAGAAGTTGGCTTAATTTCCTTTTTTTTCTTTAATTGCAATTGATTCAGGTACCAGAGTTTGTTTTGACTCGAGGAAAGGTGGGTGAAACCTAATGGCCTTTCTTTTCTATTCTCTTTTCTGAATCAGGATAGAAATGAGCAAAAGCGAGGGGGGGGCTCGTTCAGGATTGTTACTTTTTCCATTTTTCGCGCGCGTTTACTGTATACATAAACTTATAAAAGTTTCTGCCCTCCTCGGGGGGGGGGTGGCCGAAACTCAGTAAGTTTATGGTATTAGGGCGTTCGTACCCGAACCCCCCCAAAAGGCTGGGAGAGGTCGGTACGGGTTTCTCACCAAAAATCCGCCTCCAACCAATGATGTGCCTCGTTCCGGTGCGCCGCGGTGTCAGAGGAGGGGGCTGCCTCAACCCGCTCTATCTGACAGCGCTCCAAATTGTTTGCGATGATTAGATCAATATTGTTGTGAAATCGCAACACGCCGATTGCCATACATATTACTTGTCTGCACCATTTCACCTCTGAATGGGGTACTGTTGTTCATTAGGGCTTGACCTACTGTTGCTCATGATAGCTTGACTTCCACAGGGTGCCCACAAGTTTCACGCGGGACCTCGTATGGCCAACGCAGCGCAGGTAACTGTCTGGCACAGGCCTTCCGCCAACATCTTCCTGCGGTATGATAATCCTACAACGGACGCCACTTCATTGCTAGTTGCCTTGACACGTGCTGCCAATGCCGTGCACGCAACACCAATTGCAACGCCTTTTTTGCCATGCTTCTAATCTACTGAAGTTCGCTTTGGGTGCAGAACTGAGGACTCATTACCTTCTAAATTCATTTGCGCGCTTACATGAGTCAGGGCACGTCGTACGTTGGGAATCCCCGGCGCGGGGCCGATTTGTTCATAGGAGGGAGGGGTCGCATTTGCCTTCGTGAGAGATGTTTTAGTTAACGGGTTCTCTCGGTTTTTCCTGTCTCAGGTGCGTACGTGCATCCCCTCCTTCCTCGCTTTTTTCTAGGAGAAGCCAGAGAAAAGCTTCGCAAAAAATGTGGGAAATTGGGAGAATTCATGAAGACGGAAGGTGAAAAGTGGGACAGGGAGAGCGTCGTACCGGAGAAGATATTATCAAGGAAGAGGGGCTCTTCCGCTGGGGATGGCGATGAATGAAGATTCCCAATGAATGACGTGCCGTATTAAAGGAGGTGCTCAGGCACAACGTTTCGCTCGTTGTTGCGTTCTAGCACTCTCCAGGGTACGGTAGAAATGATAAGTTCTCGTGCAAAAATACACGCAGATGATTTCAACAAACAAGACCACTGCTGTTTTCCTATCATGAATCAAACCAATATAAAAGGAACATAGGGCGGTAAGATACATTCTCTACTCATTTGTTATCATCTTACTAACCCCTTAAGACATGCAAGAAGTGTATGCCGTTTGTGATCTTTATCAAGCCGAGTTAAGAGAAGCAGTATGCGGGCATAACCTGCTGTCGTGCCGTACAGCAGGTTCTTTCCACGAACGTTATAGGAGCGAGAGCAACGAGACTCTCTATAAGAAGGTGAGCCAAACAGGTCATACCCATGGATTTCTATACAATAACTGCTTCTTCAGACCAGAATCTTCGCCCCGAATCGAACCGTGATTGAAGTTTTCGCATGGGTCGCCACGATGCTGGCGTTCTCTGGCATGGGCACATGGATTGGCTCCCATGGCATCAACACAATTGTTGATATGACCGTCGGTGCACAATTCACCACTTTGACAGCTTATGTGATTCTGCCGGCAGTTACGATGTCAACTCTGCTGAAGGTGAGGCCCTTCCGCTTCTTCTGCTCATCCAAGTAGCCCACGTCGAGCCGTAGCCGAGGTGAAAATGCTCCTCATCGCTTTTTTAGCAAGCTAGGAGAGGAATCCAGCGGAAAGGCGCAAATGGTGTTCTGCATACCTGTAGATGGGCGACCAGAGTCTTCCCGAAGAGCTCATTCCTGTTCTCGCTTGGATGCTCGCTGCGCGATTTTGTCGCGCGAGTTCGCGCGCGGCAAGGGTCTCAGAGGTTGCGACGAGTGCGAGACCAAAGACTAGGGGTAAGAGGCGAGGGTGAATGCGACCGTACATCAGAAAGAAGGAATCGATGCAGGTGCCTAATCAGAGGCACTTTTGTACTAACGAAAGATATCGATTGATCGGGTATGTGACGAGGCAATCGTCATCCGCCGCGCTGGTTGCATCGCGTGCGATGTCGCGCCGGCTAATTGCGATGTTTCAAGGTCGTAGGTGGTGACTGTAGACAATGTAATAACCAAAAATAGTCATAAAATATCTGCGGGTAACGTGTATGCATGAAATGCCGGTAGTCCACCTGCCAGCTGACTAAGAAACGCCCGCCCCATCCCCCGCGCGCGACGGGAGGCGGCAATTTACTGACGCTTATGATCCTGTGAGAGCTCCAGCCCAGAGCATAGGGTAGACCTAGGTGGCGGGTCGGAGTGCATTCCGCTTGCTATGTTCCACTAACCGTGACAATTTCTCGATAAGTCACAACACTATGCGGGAGGGCCAGTCTGCAGTATAGCAGGCAGCAGATCCGAAGGGGTGGCGATTCTATAGATTGGACCTTCCTCCTTTCAAGGTTGCGAACTGTTACAGGCCAGTGCGCACTGACGTAGGAGGGCGCACTGACGTGGAGCACGTTACCGCTTCCGGGGCATGCAGCGCCCTAATCATTCCTGTCAGTTTGCCAATGCCGCACACATTATACGAGGCTCTGTTCATACTTTGCAGCAGCACCCACCAACGTCCTCAGCAACATCAGCTTTTCAAGCGTGCGTCAGCGTCAGCCGCGAGGAAGGTACAGATATCGATTGAGCAAGTGGCTGCGTCTTCTAGCGTCTACCAGCGTGGGGAAGTACGAGGGAACAGACACTGGGTCAGCCGTCGTGGAATTGTGGCGTGTGCAACCGCACGGTAGTACAACACAATACCGTATTACTGGACGCTGGTGGACACTGGTAGGCGCCAGTAGACGCTAGATTGATATCCATACCTTCCTATCGCTGATACCGACGGCCGCTCAGAACGCTGATGGTCGCTGGCGGACGCTGGTGGACGCTGGTGCTTGCTGGTAGACGCTGCCGCAAAGTATGAAGGTGCTATTGAAGCACCGTCGCAATACAAAGTTCCCATTCCGCATCTGGAGGCGAGGAGGTTCCCTGTAAATCCACTCGTGAAAAAAGCACGTTGGAGATAGAAGAAAGCGCGTTTATCAGCGTCGCCCTTGTCGCAATGCGACTGCGCGAAGTCGCGATGCACAAAAGTGCACCTGATATCCCGATGTTCTTCGTTTGGTAAGGAGTTGCACCGTGCGTCAAACTGTGTTTAACGCTATCTACTGCATTTCAGTACGAACGAAGCTGTTTCAATGACGTCACCATTCGCTTTATGTTGCTGACATCGGCTGCCATCCAAGGGCTACTCATTGGCAGTGTTCAGGATCCCAAGTATCTCCAAAACGAACCTATCACCTTCGTAACCCCTGTTGTATTTGCCCTCGTCTATGCGGTATGTACGTTTTTAGACGCAGTTCGGCGACGTGAGGGGGGAGCGGGTGGGGACATTCATTCGCTGCTTCGTTCCAGTTTACAGTCTCATCGTGGTAAAACGTGTGAACACTTGAGAAGCAAGAGCGAGTCGAGCCATCATGGTAAAACATGTCAACTCTCGTAAGCTCACGAAATGGCCCTCCAGATGGGTCGTCTTGTCGATGGGAACTAGCAGAAATGCAAAATGCCCCCCCCCCGTCGCCAAGACTTGCCGCCTTGAGGTAGGAAGGCCAAAAGAGGAGCGGAACGGGCTTGGCAAAATGACATCCAATAACAAGGAGGTTTCAAGAAGCAGTCGGTTGGAATCGGGTCGCAGTGGTAGTGTGAGCATATCACCCAGTTGCAAACCGCCTGGTGCGGTACTTGGCACGTTTTGCTTAACGTACGTGCATGGGCTGGTTGTCCGGCAGGGCTTCGAACAAATTTACGAAGGATGGGCATTGGGCGTACGTGGTTGCTGTGAGAATGTCGCCGTCCATGCAACCTTATGATGAGGGGCGGAGTCTGTTGAAGTAACCACAAAAGGACCAAGTCTCGATCTTAGTTCGAGTAATCCAAGCATCATTTGTACTCAGTACTCAGAACCCATAGAGGAAGGGCGGAGGAGAGCGGGGATTGAGGAGGGAGGGAGCATGGGTGTGGTTCGGCGCCCATCAACTACCAAAACCAACGATCTGAAACAGTAAATCCGAAGTAATTCTGCGGATCCAGCATCAAGGAGAGAGGAGGGGGGGAGGCAGAGGTTGTGAGCTTGGGGTAGTTTGCCTGTGCAAGGGTTAGGGAACTAGGTCATGGGCAGTCGTAAGCGGTGCGGATACATGGCCAGCCGTAGCAGGAGTTAATTGAGCAGGTCGGCTTATTCATTTTCAATGGACGGGCGATTGAATGAGACAGCCGAGAGTCGATCAGAAGCGGTACTAAGTGTGACGTCGAATGACAACGTCGATACGAATCTAGCGTGACGGGGATAATGGAACTCGGGACGCGTACTGATAAGCAGCAAGCAGATTACGAGGAAAAAAGCGATTGACGGCCGGCGTGAAAATCCACAGTGATCGTGTTGCTCCACTTGTGGGGGGATGGGGGGTGAGCGGGTCGGGGAGTACGAAGATGGTCGACGTTTAGATGGATGTATACTCATCAATACACAAATAATATGTAACCACGTAAAATCGTACAAGTAGACTACATGCAGAAGTCCAATGGCTACCTCTCGGCTTCAGTAGTTAGGGGTCGAGCAGGCGTATTCCGAAGAGCTTTATCGGCGGGTCAGAGCAACGCAAAAGGTGGAGGGTTCGGAGGCGGTGGGATCTCTTGTATGAGCGTCTTAAAAAGGAAAACGTTAGGATGAACCGGGGGCGAGATAGTCGTCGGTCGAGCGCTCGCTACGCGGCGTTTTCCGTGTGTTCGCGCGGTTTGGTAGAACCATGAGACCGTCCAAAGAATCCGATGTTGGGATCGGGATATCCGCGTCTTTGGGCAACTTGCATCTAGGCTTGAGTCAGGGACCTCCCTAGCCAATTTATTTGAGCCTTGTAATAGCACAGAGCAGTTTTTCAAAGGAGTGCCGTACGTGACATTTTGCAAAGAGTAGAGCGCACGCCGCGCGCTTAAAGGCAGTTGGCACGATGGTTTCCTACTTAAATGCTAGTAGGGCGCTGTATAGTGGGGAAATGGCGAAAGAACGGAGTGAAACGGTCAAAATCCGGCGAAGAAAAAGCCTCCGTTCTCAGTGACTTGAAAATCGATTTCGGACGAGTTTCCCGTAGCATCTTGCCAATCACCGCTACCGAAGATACGGCTGCATATGTGTACCCATATATGCATGCAGCATCACGCCGCTTCATACCAATCCCTTTGCTTCATAATTTGCTCAGCAAATGAATGAATACGAGCGTCAGGAACGGTCGTCCGTTTGTGGGCGGGCGGGCGAGGAAGGCGTTTGGGACGGAATGTTGTTGCTCGATAGGGCGTTATAGGGGTACCCTCCTTGGAAAAGGCGCCACGGAGCGCCTGTCCGAGGTCACGGAATTCTGTTAAGCCAGTCGTATAAATCCTACATCTGTATAGCGATTTATCGTGCCAACTGTTTTAAGAAACGCCTCTGCCGCTACACGGACTTCCTTACCTGCACTCTACTTTCGGCAGGGCTAGGCGCTACCACCTGTGTGCAGGGCTTCCATCTCGTTACCGGACGCTTACATTTTTGAGATTTTGCGGTCTGGACAGCAAATAAGTGCGCGATCCTCCAGGATCCGTACTTGGGTACCGAACCAGCGAATTTATTCACTACGTTTTCAGCGTTACGGCCACATTTGTCAATATCTACTGCTCGAGTCTATGGTCTTCGTCCATGCACTGTTTTATATCACTAGCGGTTATTAATGGTGGGTCATTTCAGGGAGAATTCCCAAAGAAAATACGTGGGGGGGGGGTGGAGACACACTGCGGCAATTATGCCCCGCCATGTTTGCCTGTCTAACTTGAAAATTTTTCAAGGCCTCGGAATGGCTTTGTACTCCATCTTCCCTTTCGGTGAGGGACGCAGACGAGCAGACATGACGTGTCATAGTCGCGTCTTGGACCACCCCAACTAACTTAGCCGCTTTCCTCATTCGTGACTCATCCATACTCATTTCAGCGGGAATGAAACTCAAGTTCAAACTGTGATCGTAGACAAATTGGAAATTGCTTTAACTGACCCCATATCTATACCAATATGATTGATAGAATGCATGAAATCTTCGTCAGCTCTCATCTATGTATATATGTGAAAATCAATAAAGAAATGTAATTGAAAGGTACACGAGGACAGCGAACCAACAAAAAAAACATGGGATGTCGCAGACATTTCGGCCCAGATCTGCTTGGCGGGGGCATCCGCTACTTTTCATCTTTTTCATCGGTTACTTCCAACGAACCCCTCGAGACATGTGATTCCTGTAAAGCGGTGCAATAGCAGGAATATCGTTCACTCCTGATACGAGTTTACAGCTCTTACCCACGTGAGATTTGTAGTTCAACAGGAATTAGCAAAACAAACAAGCGGGAAAATGCAAAGTTCTCCCATCCCTCCCCCCCCCATCCCACCCTCTTTCTCTCTCTGCCTGAGCAGCACGTAATACAGGTACCTCCTTCCTCTTAAACACGTCGATGGGAAGTAAAAAACATGAATACAATCAACTTCCAAGACACCGTTCGGCT